ACTGAGAGGTGTGTTGAGTGCACTGGTGCACGACGGCTGTCATTGCATCATCCAGGTGGGGCTGCACAATGGTGGTGGTGGAAGGGTACAGCGCTTTGAGTAGAGTATGCCGGAAAGCGCTATATAAATGTAAGGAATTACTACTACAACTACTACTTCACTGAACACCTCTGTAAGCATGTAATTCTGAAACACAGTTTCCTAATACTGTTCTCATTAATTCTGAGTTCTGTCTTACTAGCAGGTCCAGGCCTTCTGTTGAGCAGACAAACCTCACCTTGCTAAGTAAAGCATAGGTACAAGGAACTTTCAAAGGAAAATAACTGCTACACACAAGGAAATGTGCTTGGTAGCTGCCTTTCTGGGATAAATCAAGATTCATGTGATGTGTTTCTTCTCGTTTCACGCAATCACGCATTTTCATTAGTGAATAACATCTGTAACTGGCAAAAGTAAGCACTTTTCCTGGAGTATTTCAACTACATGTTAAAATTAAAAACAGCAGAATTCCACATCTCCACAACCAAACCCGGAGGGCACATCTAAATCAAAAGAACCACTCCAAGTACTGTACCACCTCGCTGTCGTAGCATAAAACTTCATGTGATCTCCGTTTATTAACAGTAACTGCTGCATAAACAAGCAAATCTTCTTTGTATAAACCACACCTCCGTCAAACAATTAGAGAAAACAGGACGGCACTCCTACGCATCTATAAAATCCTCCAGCCAACACTGCTGGAGATGACTGAAACCTGTGCCTGAATAAGGAGCTGGGTGAGGGACCGAGGCCCAGATCGTGGGCGGACAGGAGATTGGTTTGCTTTTACTTCCTTTTAGAGCCTAAAGCACAAACTATTTCCCAAGCAGACTGCGCATTCAGGCAAAAAAAAAAAAAGCTTCTAACAAGGACTGCTCCAGATTTCCAGGTTCCTAGAAAGGGACTGGGACAGTCAAACCTGAACTGCACGTGTCCATGTGATTCAACTCTGATGTATGATTTCCTGTCATTCGAAAGGGAATTTTTTTTGGGGGGGGGGGGTAAACCAAACTTGTTGTTAGCAGGATGGAAGGGTCTGCAAAGCAGATAAGCAGATCCCACAAAACTGCCCAGCTGTATTAATGGGTACAAATGTAAGCTGCCTTTGTTAATAGTAACATTACAGTATATCACTTTTTAATTAATGCCATTACAAGGCAGCAGTTTAGCCCAGAACAATGAACGAGCTGTAGTTTCCGAAAGGTCTGTGCACTGTGTTATTATGTCACATCAAATATTTAAGACAGAGAAAGCGCCAAGCTGTCTACAGTGCAGATCTGCTGCACTTTTAATTCCCTACAGTCATCTTACAGACGACAGGTGCCGCAATGTCGATGGCTGTGTGAGCACGGAGGGATATTTATCTCCATTATAAGGACACCTCTTTACATTAGTTGATTAGCATTCATTAAAACCCCCTACCGCTGTCTGACTGTGCAGCGAGTAAAAACACTTCAGGCTGCACCTTTCCTTGGTTGACAAGGGTGTCTTTACAACTACACATCAGGAGTTTTAATGGCCTTTGTGAAACAAACAATTCAAACACTGACATTGGGACCCCTCTACAATTTGTGACCCCATAAGCTTAGCTGTTGTTTGCCTTAAACAATGCTCAAATTGAGCTTGGTGCAAATCAGAATGAGAAAACCAGAGCCACCAAATCAATGAAATTGTAAAGAATTTCACACGGCCTCAGCGTCTACGTAAAGAAACTTTTCACACAGACTCGGCACTGGACTTTACTGCTTGAGAGACGAGTGCACTCAAGTTGGACAGAGGACGGGGAAACAAGTCACCTAATAAAATTCCTCAGGATTTTTATTGGCTCCAACCATGAACCTACAGTATACGCTCTCACAAAAAGATGGATAAACGTCCAGTTAAGGACAAAAAGACATTCACGTAGAAATGAATTCTAACTCACTGCACGTCTTATTCATGGCTTGTTTTAAAAATGAAACCTAAAATGGATATGAGTCAGCATCACGAACACAGGTTAAAACTTCTCCTCTTGACACGAGGGAAGAAAAACACCAACAATACAGATGAATCATTCTACTTAATATTGAGACTTTCAGGAATAAAAGGCACAACACAAACAGCATTTTCAAAACATCAAACAGAGCAGAGGTGCACAACAGTATATACTGTAGCTCAACGACTAGACTACAGTCCGCTTTCAAACACTGCCCAAACAGTACAGACAGTCCCAATGTAAAATAATACATTTCCACAGATTAAGATTCTATGCAGCAGAAAATCAGAACACAGCTGGCCACAATTATGTAAAGAGAACCAAAATGTACAGTTAAGTCACAAAAAAAGAAAAAATTAACTTAGACATCGCAAAATAAATATCTTGTCCCAATAAAGCAACTCTCAGATTTTTCTTTGTCAGGTGAGGATAAATCAAATACCCACAAGCACAGGGTTTAACTAGACACTTGAGTATTTAAAAAGATACTTGCAGGCTACTCCTGTTATTATGTCTGACTGGTTTAACAATACAGGATTTTCAGTTACTGTAAATATAGCAACTTCCCAAATTTACAACAAAACAGCTGATTTTGTAAAGGAGGAAGAAGTCAGACACATGGAAACAGACAAACTCCAGTTTTAGGCCAAAACATTTCTACGAAGTAAGACAGTTCTCTGATCATGCTTTTTATTTTTCACTTCCCTTTTTGAGCTTGTACAGTTATTAACTGCTACAAATTCAATGTTCTCCTATCTGAAGTCACTGGAAATGAACTCGGAATCAATGTTTTCATGGCACGATGGAATTAAATTAAGACTTGATATTAGAATAAGTGCAGATCAAATCTTACAGAACCAGCTGGTCTGACTTTAAGAACACTGCCAAGTTTCAGCCACCGATTCCTGGAACCCATTTAAGAAGACCGGGGGTGGTTTCCAATTAATCACAGATTAAAGCAGTGCAGGCTCCTGTCCTTCTTGTTTAATTCTAAAAATTCCTTTCCTACTGTTCTCCTTGGACCCCACGTGATACAGGATATACAAAACTGGCCATTTCTGTCCTCTGCGTATGTGAGGACCAGAAAGTGAACGTGCTTTTAATGAAGCTTGAGAGCGGAAACACTTTAGGACCCCAACTAAACTGAGCTCCACAATTACATCAGCCGCCCCCCCTCTTCCCTGCTCTAGGAGAGTCGTAAATCCTGAAAAGGGCACAGTACCTCTCTCAACACCTGGCTGGCAGGAAGGGCTTCTCAGACAGCATTAGTGGAGCTTCTAACAAGAAAGGGCCCTTCTCATGCAGCTTCTCGTGAACATTTTCCGCAATTAAGATCAAGAGCAAATTAATTAGCTGGCAAACGCGAAACATTGTGAAGCATTAAAACCTGCTGTTACCTTCTTTTCAGATTAGCTTTATAAATGACGGATGCACTGAAGACGTGTACTGTAACCAAATGAGGTGTTAAGACAGGGCTTCTGCTAAGCAAGCAAAAAACACTAAATCAAACCTATTCAACTACACCTAAAAAAAAATACTTGCAGATAAAATTGACTTCCCTGATTATTTTTTTCATTTCCCAAGTAGAAACACTTGCTGCATACAAATTATGTTAAAGCACCATTCTTTCCTATGTCAGTATGCTGTCCAACTACCACTTCTCAGTTTGAACTGCATGCAACATTTACTTGGGATTCTGCGGTTTCATTAAATC